TGGGGGCGGGACGAGCCATACTGCCCGCGTCCCAGCCAACATCGCGCACGCCATCCCCTTCAGGGTCGTCTGGCAATGGGAGCTGGCGCGACGAATATGTTGACACGCCTTTCCGCGATCCAAATCAGGACAACCTCGTCGCGCTTGTTTCAGTGACGTCTCCGCGCGTATATAAGCCTGTCGGCACGGCGCAAATGCACCCTGTGGAGAAAAGGCCTGTGCGCGTGATTGCAGTAGACGTGGGTATGAAGTTCAACCAGATCCGCTGCTTCACGCACCGTGGTGTTGAGCTGAAAGTGGTACCATGGGATTACGACTACTTGGCATCGTCGGAAGAGCCGTTCGACGGCTTGTTCGTGTCAAACGGTCCGGGTGATCCCACAATGGCGAAGCCGACCATCGTGCGTTTAGCAAAGGCGATGGAGAATGCAGATAGACCGATATTCGGGATCTGTCTCGGCCACCAGCTGCTGGCGCTTGCTGCTGGCGCGTCAACATCCAAGATGAAATACGGTAACCGAGGGCACAACATTCCGTGTACCGACGCGCTCAGTGGGAGGTGCTATATCACCAGCCAGAACCACGGATATCAAGTCGACACGAGTTCTCTGTCGGATGGATGGAAAGAGCTCTTCAAAAACGCAAACGACGGCAGCAACGAAGGTATCTACTGCGTTGACAAACCATTTTTTTCTGTGCAGTTCCACCCAGAGTCGACGCCGGGACCGCGCGACACAGAATTCCTTTTCGACGTGTTCATCCAGAATATTCTTGACTGTGCAAAGACGCGCAAGCTCGTACCCATTTCCATGCCCGGTGGGACGAAAGAAGAGAACGAGAAGCGCGTCCCAAGGGCCAATGTGCAAAAAGTCCTCGTCTTGGGTTCCGGCGGCCTCTCAATTGGCCAGGCGGGCGAGTTTGACTACTCGGGTTCGCAGGCGATTAAGGCTCTCAAGGGGGAAGGAATTTACACCATTCTCGTGAACCCAAACATTGCAACGATTGCTACCTCGAGAGGCCTTGCGGACAAGGTGTACTTCCTACCTGTCACGCCCGAGTTCGTACGCAAAATCATTAAGTATGAGAAGCCGGACGGGATCTATGTCACGTTTGGAGGACAGACTGCTCTCAATGTCGGGATCAAGCTGAAGGACGAGTTCGAGGCGCTCGGCGTGAAGGTGCTCGGGACACCGATCGACACCATCATTACGACGGAGGATCGACAATTATTTGCTAGCGCCATGGCGGAGATTGGCGAGCGCTGTGCGCAATCGAGTACAGCGACCACGCTTGATGAGGCAGTCGCTGCGGCTAATACTATCAATTATCCGGTGATTGTTCGCGCCGCGTACGCCTTGGGCGGTCTCGGATCGGGCTTCGCCCAAGACGAGAAGCAACTCAAGGCACTGTGTAGTAAGGCCTTCGCAACAAGTCCTCAAGTTCTTGTAGAAAAGAGCATGAAGGGCTGGAAGGAGATAGAGTACGAGGTGGTCAGAGATTGCCGAGACAACTGCATCACGGTCTGTAATATGGAGGTATGTTACGAGCGAGTGCTATGGGTGAGTGAATGAGGTGCTAATATAGATTGACAGAATTTTGACCCTCTCGGAATCCACACTGGGGATTCAATCGTCGTGGCTCCGTCCCAAACGCTCTCGGATGCAGATTACAATATGCTCCGGACAACGGCCATCAACGTCATCCGACATCTCGGAGTTGTGGGTGAATGCAATATTCAATATGCTCTGAATCCCTTCTCCAAGGAGTATTGCATCATTGAGGTAGGGGTGGATAATAGACTCGACATAACATTCCCACTGAAGCCCGCTTTAGGTAAATGCCCGACTTTCTCGGTCATCTGCCCTCGCTTCGAAGGCGACAGGCTATCCTCTCGCCTTCATTGCTGCGAAGCTTGGCTTAGGTATTCCATTGAATGAGATCAAGAACTCAGTAACCAAGGTCACTAGCGCCTGCTTTGAGCCAAGTCTCGACTACGTCGTCGTGAAGATACCTCGCTGGGACCTCAAGAAGTTCAGTCGCGTTAGTAGACTCTTGAGCAGTAGCATGAAGAGTGTAGGAGAGGTAATGAGCATCGGCCGGTCATTCCAAGAGACCATTCAGAAGGCCATCCGCGCTATTGATGACCAGTTTACCGGGTTCGCTAAGGTCTGCTTTCAGCATGCGTCTCCTTCGTGGAGATGACCCTGACACCTCAGGTCTATAGAATGATTTTGTCGAGGACATAGACGAGGAGCTAATGAACCCCACCGACAAGCGCATCTTTGCTATTGCGGCTGCGTTCCATCGCGGGTACAGCGTCGATAAGATTTGGCAGATGACAAACATCGACAAGTGGTTTTTGACGCAACTGCAGTCTATTCATCATATGGAGAAACGCCTTTCGTATGTCGTATATTTTGTTGTCCGCGTGAAGGCACTGAATGTTGGTCGCTAGGGACTACACTATCTCGAGCATCGGTAGTATGGCGCTCCGTCAAGCAAAGCAGCTAGGATTTTCCGACCGTCAGCTTGCAGGGTGCATGGGCTCCACGGAGCTAGCAGTCCGACGATTGCGCCAGGAGTACGGGGTGATGCCCTATGTCAAGCAAATTGATACCGTCGCCGCAGAATTCCCGGCATACACAAATTACCTCTACACGACGTATAATGCCGTCGAGCACGACATCACGTTCAACGATCGCGGTGTAATGGTCCTGGGTTCTGGTGTCTATCGTATTGGATCCTCCGTAGAATTTGACTGGTGTGCGGTACGCGCCATCAGAACACTTCGCGACAATGGTCTGCCTACGGTCATGGTCAATTATAATCCCGAGACCGTCAGCACCGACTACGACGAGGCTGATCGGCTCTACTTTGAGAATATCAGTCTCGAGACAATTCTGGATGTTTACGACACCGAGTCTTCGCGGGGTGTAATTATCTCTATGGGTGGGCAGACACCGAACAACATTGCCCTGCCGCTGTACCGCCAGAACGTCAAGATATACGGAACGTCACCGGAAATGATCGATACAGCAGAGAACAGGTTCAAGTTCTCCCGTCTATTGGACGAGATTGGCGTCGACCAGCCTTCGTGGAAGGAACTGTCGAGCTTCGACGAGGCTCACGCGTTCTGCGACAAAGTCGGGTATCCCGTACTTGTCCGGCCGTCGTATGTTTTGTCAGGTGCTGCCATGAATGTAGTCTTCAGCGAGAACGATCTGTCCAGCTATCTGTCGCAAGCAACGGCAGTATCCCGTGACCACCCGGTTGTCATCTCGAAATACATTGAGGGCGCGAAGGAGATCGAGATGGATGCGGTAGCCAAAGGCGGCAAGATGATCATGCATTACATCTCAGAGCATGTCGAGAATGCCGGAGTACATTCCGGCGATGCTACATTGATCCATCCTCCCCAGGATCTCGATCCCGAGACCGTACGACAGATTGAAGAAGCCACAGCGAAGATCGGGAATGCGTTGAACGTTACAGGGCCTTTCAACATCCAGTTCATTGCCAAGAACAACGAGATCAAGGTGATCGAATGCAACCTTCGTGCCGCGCGTTCATTCCCCTTCGTGTCCAAGGTCACCGGAGTGGATGCCATTGAGATGGCTACTAAGGCGATGCTGGACTTGCCTGTTGAGTCGTATCCGTATATCGCTTTGCCTGCAGATTACGTCGGTGTCAAGGTTCCACAATTTAGCTTCAGCCGATTGTCGGGTGCAGATCCAGTTCTAGGAGTCGAGATGGCCTCTACTGGAGAAGTGGCTTGTTTTGGCAAGGACAAATACGAGGCCTATATCAAGGCCCTGATTTCTACCGGGATCGTTCCGCCAAAGAAGAACATTTTGTTCTCGATCGGTAGTTACAAAGAAAAGCTGGAAATTCTGCCTTCCGTGCAAAAGTTACATAACGCTGGTTACAACATCTTTGCAACATCCGGGACTGCTGACTTCCTCACAGAGCACAACGTTCCTTGCAAGGTGTGTTTTTTTCAACAATTTCATTGGATTGCACTCACGCATTTTGTACCAGTACCTCGAGACACTTGGAGAAGACAGCGAGCAGAAGTCTGAATATTCGCTCACTCAGCATTTAGCGAACAATCTCATCGATATGTACATCAATTTGCCTTCCAAAAATCATTACCGACGTCCCGCGAGTTATGCCAGCAAAGGATATCGCAGTCGGCGAATGGCTGTTGACTTCGCGGTGCCCTTGATAACTAACGTGAAAGTTGCGAAGCTGTTCTTTGAAGCCTTGGTCCGCAGGCTTCCCCTCGAGGTCTCTCCTGTCGACGCGAAGACATCACACGATACGCATACCTTCGCCGGACTTATCAATATTGCCGCGTTTGTCCCAGGTCTTACAATTCCTGGAAGCCTCGACTTCTCCGAGGCTACCAAAGCGTCTACTAGTGGAGGCTTCATCACGTCACTTATCCTCCCTGTCGGCGCAGGAAACAAGATTGTGGATACAGCCTCTCTCGAAGCCGCGCGTGCCAATGTTGTGGGATCTGCGTATTGCAATTATGCTCTGAGTATCTCCGCTACGGCCAGCAATGTCAAGTCTCTGGACGAGGAGATCGAGGCAGACGTAAAGACACTATTCATTCCCTTCCATTATAGCGACGCAGAGAGCCAGGTTTCTGTCGTCGCAGAGCACTTCGCTGCCTGGCCCGTTGACAAGCCCATTGTTACGGACGCTAAGGGCGCTGATTTGGCTCCGGTCCTCTTGATCGCAGGTTTGCACAACCGGAGTCTACATGTTACCAATGTGCAGAGCAAGGACGACATACTCCTCATCTCTCTCAGCAAGGCGAAACAACTGAAGGTCACATGCGACGTATCCGTGTACTCACTGTTCTACTCGCGTGCTGACTTCCCAGGAGTAACTTGTCTACCCACTGCAGAGGATCAGAAGGCGCTTTGGCAGAGCTTGGATGTCATCGACGCATTCTCAGTGGGCACGGTGCCATACCAGTTAGCCCACGAGATTGGGAAGCCTGCGGACGCATCTTCTGGTATTCGAGAAGCGCTTCCACTGCTCCTGAACGCTGTTTCTGAGGGCAGGCTGACCTTAGACGCCGTTCGCCAACGCCTCCACGAGAATCCCATCCGTATTTTCGGCCTCCCAGATCAAGGAAACACGAGCGTGGAGGTAATCGTTGGACGCAAATCGCAATTCCGAAACACAGGCGCGAGTTGGTCGCCATTGACTGGTTCGCTTGTGGCCGGCGCAGTGGATCGAGTGCTTGTCCATGGCCAGACAGTATTCCTGGACGGTGAGGTCACCGCATCTCCTATAGGAAGAGATCTCTCGAGTGCGACGGTCTCGCACGTACCAGCCGAACGTTCAATGTCTATTTCGGGCCAGCGACCAGATCTCGGAACGGCTGCACAGTCACAAAGCAAGGGTGTAGATGCTGCGGCACAAACACAAGCACAGAAGACCTCCGCACCGGCTGTTGCTCCGTTGCAGGGACCCGCGACTACTCCTCAGGCGGTTTTCACACACCTGGTGCCCCATCCAGCGTTCCATCGCAAGCACATCCTGACGGTAAAGCAATTCAAGCACCGGGATTTACACGATCTCTTCGCGCTGGCGCAGGAAATGCAGTTGCAGGTTGAACGAAATGGGACGCTAGATGTGCTAAAAGGGAAGGTACTTGCGACGTTGTTCTTTGAGCCGTCGACGCGTACCAGCTCGTCTTTTGATGCCGCCATGAAACGTTGCGGAGGAGAAGTTGTTGCAGTACACGTGGATGCGTCGTCAGTCCAGAAGGGAGAGAGCCTGGCGGACACAATACGCACTCTGGGATGCTATGCGGATGCGATCGTGATCAGACATCCGGATGTGGGCAGCTCACAGCTGGCTGCTAAGTTCTCGCCGGTACCGATCTTGAACGCGGGAGATGGTATTGGGGAACACCCCTCGCAGGTGAGTTATTTAATCCGTGTTTGCACAGTTGATTGCTAACGTTAAAATGACAGGCGTTGTTGGACGTGTTCACCATTCGTTCAGAGCTTGGTACCGTCAACGGAAAGACGATCACGATGCTTGGAGATCTCAAGAATGGGCGAACGGTGCACAGCCTTGTCGCGCTGCTTTCGCTCTACTCTGTCCGACTCAACTTCGTCGCGCCGCCAGCGCTGGCGATGCCCGCAGCTGTCGTGAGCGCCGCTCGCCGCGCTGGCGTACCCGTGCATCAATGCGAGAGCATTGAAGATGTTCTCGCTGAGACGGACGTACTCTACGTGACACGCCTGCAGCGGGAGAGGTTCAAAGATGAGACTGAGTGGGCGACGGCGAGGGAGGGTTACCGCGTGGACCATGCTCTGTTGGCGCGTGCAAAAGAAGACATGATCGTAATGCACCCCCTGCCGCGGGTCAATGGTCAGTCATATGTTTTCGGCGCTGTGACAAGACCAAGCTAATGGGCTTTTTTTGTTCTCTCTTTGCTTATACAGAAATCGATCCGGAAGTGGACTTCGACTCCCGACGGGCAGTATACTTCCGGCAGATGCGCTACGGACTCTTTGTGCGTATTCTTTGTCGTCGTCTTAACTACTGCCGTTAACGGCTACCCGTACATAGATCCGTATGGCGCTTCTGGCGAGCGTCATGGGCTGAAGTCTCGTTCAAAAACGAAAAGTACGACTCCGCGTACACACGATTTGGGTACAATAAAGAAAAATATGGATGTATTAGCTATTGATCGTCACTATCGCTCACTTCACTACAGATAGAAGGGATACGAACTAGCCGGAGGGACCAATGTAGATGTAGCCTTAGATAGTACAACGCAAGCAATCACACACGTATGACTCGAAATTTTGAATTATGGACACATTGACCGTTCTATTTGCAACATTCTATGCGTCTAATGTTTGACGTGACGGGGAACCTCCGTGCCGCAAGCAAAGTGAATGTGTTAGGATATACATGGCCGAAAGCCTAGGTGGCTCACGGCGGGCAGGAGGCCGGCGGGATGCGTGCGACCGGTGGAGACTTCGAGGATTCCAGATTCGACTCGGCGGGAGATGTCGTCTTATCAGCTGGACATCGTTGCACGATAGAAGCTCGGCTTCCAGAGACACAGATAACGAATGGACTCCATAAAATGACATGGGCTCTGTGCACTCCCCACAAGCTTTTGTTAAGTCTTTCAACGGCTGCGAGACCCTACAAGCATGCCTGGCCTCATAACAGATATGCCTCCATCGTTTCCGGAGGACATTGCAACCCACCCGCTGTTGGTGATTGATTATGCTCTCATCCAGGCAGGTGATGCAGGAGAGAAGGACAGGTTGTGAAAAGCCGCAACAGAGCTCGGGTTCTGGTAGTGCGTGCGGCTCACCTCTGTGGTAGTACTTCGAGACTGAGACTACATCGCAGCCTAAAGAATCACGGCGCAGAGACGGAAGTCGACGCACTATTCCAGCTCGGCAAAGAGTTCATGGAGCTGCCTCTGGAACAGAAAATGGAATACGAAGAGGGCGACGACGGGATGCAGTTCGGGTACGTTCTCGAGATGAGCCCGTCTCTCAGCTGACCGCGAGCATCGATCACGCAGGTACAAAGCCGCAGGGCACCACACCGCCGACGAGCGCGGGACACTCGACGCAACCGAGTTTTTGGACGTCGCGAAGGACGACGTGCTTGCGTTCCCGACGCCCGTGCACCGGACCTACCCCGCGCTTGTCGCCGCTGCGTTCCCTACCGTCCTTGTGCCGTTCGTGCACAAGTCGCTTGCCGTCAATGCTGCACTTCTCGCTGTTCTCGGGGAAAAGCTCGGGCTCCCGGACGGCACGATGGAGCGTCTTCATATCCCGGAGGAACGCAGCGGCTGCGTGGCACGTGTGATCAAGACACCGCCGCAGGTGGGTGCGGCGCAGGTGCTTGAGGACCAGGCCCTGCTGGGTGCGCACACGGACTTCGGATCGCTGGTGAGTATATGCGTTCTACGCGAGGCAGAAGAACGTTGACGTGGACATCTCCTTGACCACAGTCGTTCCTCCACAATCGCCTAGGCGGACTACAGGTACTCGCGCCGGCGACAGAGAAGTGGCAGTATGTTAGGGTGCGCAGGATACCTGTGGTTATATGCGTCCTGCTTTTCATAAAAGTTATTAGCCACTGCCAGGACATGCGATCTGCAACGTCGGCGATGCTCTCAACATCTTTAGCGGTGGGCTGATTCGCTCGAACATGCATCGTGTAGTGTGAGTGCGCGCGCTCAGCAACGGAAGCCATACTGGACTCACATGCTCGCAGTGCGCCCCCGAAGGCGCAAGCAGCCTTTGAACGCTACTCACTTGCGTTCTTCACGCGTCCGCATGACTCCGTCGTCCTGCGCCCACTGATCGCTGAGAGCGTAGTAGTAGCACAGGCCATCGCAGAGAGACACCAGGATGGAACAGCCGCAACACAGGAAAAGGGGACGGCAGGCGAATGGCTCTTGCGGAGGCTCAAAAACTTGCGGACGGCGCACTATCATGTATGTGGTTTTCCCTCAGACTTCCTTCTATCGTGTGATGGTCTCTGACACACCGACAGGGCGCAGAGAGTTATCGCAAACACCTTGGAACAGAGGATTATGGTCGTATTGTCCAGACTCAGACCATTGGCGAGATGTAAGGCACAACGAGAGACACAGTCCCCACAGTAGTATACGACTGACAGTCCTTGGCTTGATTTACTGCTTGTGTTGAAAGTCCATGCGACGAAGGAATCTGTTGAGTTTTTGTGCGCATATACATCGCAGTTGATCATTGACTGCAAGTCGTCGCAGACTGGGCCAGAAACGATGCTGTTGCTAGGCGGTGATTTTGCCGGGTGATGCTGACATAAGATATAGTTCAAGTTCAGGTTCAAGTTCAAGTTTGATGTTGAAACGTTGAGGTTTGTGAATGTCAATTTTTGTCGTAATCAGCCCCGTCTCTACGCCTCGACCATGCAAGATCAACAGTGGAGGCGTTCTCTATGCAGTACCTCTCAGCCATCTCCTACCCCTTTACCGCGTTTCTAGATCTAAACAGTCTCTCCGAAGCGACACCAGTCATCGCTCTCCCCTCCGATCGTGGACTTGCATTCTCGTCTGGGGATTCTCACCTTGTGCCGCACATGGGTACAGGATGTAATCAGCCACTAGTGCACAGATCACCATTGCCAGACGACGATAATCATGCCTCTCCTCCCTCAAAAGGGTATATATCTTGTCCCAATATCGTGCGCAACTATTGAGTATTTTGAAATCCCTAGTCCTTACACCTACAGAGGATCAAGAGTTCCTCGTGATACGGTGAGGGCTTGCCAAAGGCCGCCAGAGTCTGCAACTGTCTCTCAGCTGCTAGAACATACCAAGACACTGCTTGATGAATTGGCTATCAGAAGAGCTGCTCGGAACCCTGCTCGATCTTACGAGAATTCCTCATACGTTTTGCCATCGTGTAGGGCGGCCAGGGCTAAACTCGACGAAATGACCGCCAGGAGGCTGAAGAGGAAACGGCAAGCCGCCGAGAGTGTGAGTCTCAATCCCACGCGGCGGCTCCTAGGCAGCCGAAACGGGGACGTCTAGATGCTCCGTGTGTGTTGCTGTCGTCCAAGATGGCTGATACGGCGCTGCTCGATGAAATAACCACCATACAATTTCTACGCCTATGATAGCTCGAAGATGCTTGTTATCACGTTCCCATAATTTCGTGAGTGCTATCTGCGATTATTATATTCGTGGCCCTGTAGAGGCGTAGTCATGACCAATTATATCTTAGAAGAGAACTCCCTGCTGCATCAATTGTACGTGTAAATCACATCAGCTGTGCTGCTCACTCAGTTGAGGGACAGCGTACCAATACACATCGTATCGTTCTTGAGAGCCTGTTTGAGACCCGGTGGAACCAATTAAAGCCATCAACTGCAGATAATAAGACAATAGTTCATTGCTTTTGGCCCCCAATGAAAAGACTGATCACTAGGAAAGTATAGTACGTGCCACCCAAGTCCTGGCTACTCAGTGCTTGCGATGCAGTTCCAAACGACCCGAAGAGGACTTGATCTGCGGCCCGAGGCTCAAACACATGCGGACAGAAATTGGTTGAACTTTGGAGCGCACTATGATACACAACTGACGACTCGGAGAAGGAAACCCAATCGTCGATTCCTAGTCGTCGCAGACTGAATCGACTTTCGAACAAGTCTCCTACTGGCTTTTCCCGGGAAATAGCAAGATGTGCGGTTTGCAATCCACCTCGGCTCTGACTATCATACATCCAACTACACATCAAAGCATGAGAATTGGAATAGAAGGAGAATGATACCTTGCATACTATCTTCCTGCTTTCACGCCGTCACTAACCGACTCGGAGATGCCTCACCAGCGAGCGCCGTCGCCCTGGCAATCGACACTTGGTCCTCCGTGCCCTGCCACGACTGTAAACCCTGGAGATGCACCACAGTCCTTCAGGACTGCAGACGAGCGGAGCGAGGGGTAACACGCACCGTGAAGTGTTTGAGTCTCTGGTTTCGCACTCTCCTCGCGAGCCATTGTTTCGCGGTCACGCCCGGATTGAATCGCGCTTCTCCGTTGGGTGTCTTCGCAACGGCCGAAGCAATAGCTGCACTCTCGTCCGCCAGGGCGTGCAGCTCGACGGAGTCAGACGCGCGAGTGAAGAAGACGAGGGAGTACCGTTCGTGCTTTGCCTGCTCCTTCGGCGGCGGACTGAAGTGCCGTGTGAGTGTCTAGCGGGATCCTGCCAAGCCAGAAGTATACCTACACGACGCGATGCATGTTCGACCTCAAGATACCTCCACTGAAGATGTTGAGCGAATCGCCTATGTTGCAGATCGCATGTCCGGGCAGCGGCTACCGCATGTCACGCTCGTGAAGCAAGCAGGGCAGTGGCGAACACACCTTCACGTACTGCCATTTGTCAGTCCCCGGCGCAAGGACTTGCAGCCCGCCGAGACGGTTATGCAAGAACGACTGGGTGAGATCATCTACCGTTGAATAACATGTCTTGCTTTGAGGATGATGCAAGGACGCACTAGCGATCCGAAATCCGTGTGGGCGGAAAGCATTGCTTTCTGCTCATCAAATACACCGTCCCTTGGGAACACCCGAATAACCCGGGCAACACACCCGCTCTGTTCCTCCCTCCTGTGCAACCGAGAAAGCGTCCCGTCCGGCAGCTCCAATTTGGCATTAAGAACACCTATGAGAGTGCCGTTGACCTCTAATGACTTCTCCACGAATGGCCTCACTGCG